GCCCGGTGGGGCATCGATCTGGTCGGTATTTTGCCTCGGGGGACAGGGAACAACACATACCTGGTGGTCGCGATTGACTACTTCACCAAGTGAGTCGAGGCCGCCCCCGTGCCAACCATCACTGCGGAACAGATGACGAAGTTCGTTTCCAAGCAAATCTTGTGCCGATTTGGGGTGCCCCAGCAGATCATCACTGACAGCGGAACCCAATTCGAGGCCGGAGGGTTCAATGAGTTTCTACAGAGCTGGGGCATAAAACACAGCTATGCAGCGGTCGGGTACCCCCAAACCAATAGGCAGGTTGAGAACACCAATCGTACCATCATGGACGGCCTCAAGAAGAAGATAATGGAATGCAAAAGTGCCTGGGTGGAAGAAGTGCCCTATATTTTGTGGACCTACAGAACTACCCCAAGGAAGGCCACAGGTGAAACTCCTTTCTTGCTCACATATGGATTTGAAGCAAGGGCTCCAGCGGAGACCTCGTTGTTAAGTTATAGAGTAGAGACGTTTGATGCTCAAGGAAATGAGGAGAACCTGAGGGCAGAACTGCACCTCATTGATGAGCGAAGGGAAAGGGCATATATGCGGGCAGAAAACTACCGCCGGCAGGTCAAGTCATATCACGACCAGCGGGTGCGACCAAGGCAATTCAAGGTGGGCGACTGGGTCCTTCGGAAGAGGGAGATCAGCCGGCCGACCGATGGAGGGAAGTTTGCTAAAAGCTTCGAGGGGCCATATATCATAAAGGAGGCGTTGGCTGATGGGACATTTAGATTGCAGACTCCAACCGGTGGCGACGTTCCGCGAGTATGGAATGCCGCCAACCTTATCAAATTTTATCAATAGATTGTATTCCAGCCATGTCTTTTTCTTGAAGTTTAATAAAACCAGCTTTCTGGCACATCTTGTCTCTGATTCTCGGAAAAAAAAAGGGAGCGACCACAAGAGATCGCTAAAATTGCACGGTGATTCGTGCTAAGATACCCAGTAGTGGGTGAAGCGTCGAACCCAGTCAAGCGACCAAGGTTGAAGACGACGCCGTGGCAAGAAAGCCTGAGAGAACGGCTAAGTCTGGAACACAAGATCTGTTGATCGCATGAGCGACCAGGGGATCTTGGGGGTATGGCGACGCCACAAGGGTCAAAGTAACCCGGAAATGGCTAAGTCAAAAGAGGCGAGGTATTCTCTGATTCAAGTCCGAGGAAACCTG